ACAGATTCTGTTGCTTCTTGAGGCTCCTTCTGGAATGCCACATATTGATGTTGTCAATTTAGAGAAAGATGCTTGCCTTCCAATTGATATGGGAGGAGGGCATGCCTCCAAGTACACCTATAAACTGGATCAAATCGTTTAGGCACAAGTTAACTACATTCAGCAACATTGAACATTTGAATTTAGAGAGACTGTGTAGAACCCATTTCCTGCACCCTCCGATTCTTAAACTGGTATTATCATCGGTTCTCTAACATATGTTTTAGAAGTCGAAGAGCCACACAGAAGCTGTCCAAGTGGAAGGTCTTCCCCATCATTGAGGCACACACTTCTAAGACCAGGAAGCCTAAGCATGCTCGGGGGGTTGCAAGCAGAGGAGCTTTTCCTTCTCCAGTGACAGGCTTGTCTTGCTCCTGTGTTCATGCAAAACCACAATAACATACTACTTCACATCCATGAGGATGGCTATAATAAAAAGATGAATAATAACCACTGCTGGTGAGTTTGTGGAGAAATCAGAACCCTCATAAATTGCTGGTGAGAATGTAAAGTGGTACAGCCACTTTGGAAAATAGTCTGACAATGAAAGTTAAACGTATGACCCAGAAATTCCTCTCCTAGGTATGTGCCCAAGAGAACTAAAAAACATGTACACACAAAACCTTGTACTTGAAAGTTCATAGCCGTATCATTTATAGTAACCAAAACTAGGACACACAAATGCCCATGGACTGGCAAATGGATAAACAAAATGTAGCCTCTCCACCCAAGGAAATATGCTTCAGCTATAAAAAACAACGAAGTACCAATACATGTAACAATACACACACCTTAACCTCGAAAGCATTATGCTAAGTGAAAGAACGCAGACACAAAACGTCACGTATTGCATGGTTTCATTTACATAAAATGTGTAGAATAGGCAAATCCATACAGACAGAAAGTGGATTCGCGGTTGCCAAGGGCTGGTGGAGGGAGGAAAAATGAGTGACTGCCATTGAGTGTGAACTTTCTCTTTAGGATGATGCAAATGCTTTAAACTAGATTGTGGTGATGGTTGCATAACTCTGTGAATATACCAACAGCCACTGAACTGGACAACTTTAAAGGGTAAATTTTATGGTATGTGAATTGTATCTCAATAAACCTGTTTTTCAATGGGATTCTTAGAATTAAAAATTATGATTATGAGAAAGAAAAATCCATCGGGTGGGATTAACAGCAAACTGGAGATAGCAGAGAAAGGATTAGTGAAGTTAAAGATGGAGCCAATAAAAGCAATCAAATCTAGACAGCAGAGAACTAAAGATTGGAAAAAATTAACAGCACCTCAGAAACTAGGGGGCAATACCAAAGAGTCTAACATTCATGTGACTGGAGTTCCACAAAAAGAACAAAAGCAGATCAAAAAAAATAGTTGAAGAAGAAAAAAAACAAAAATAAAAATAAAAAAATAGTTGAATAGTGGCTGAAGTCATCTCAAAATCTGATAAAATACAGTAACTTGTAATAACACATTTAAGTCCAGCAAACTCAAGTTAAAAAACAAAACAAAACAAAAACTACACCTAGGTACATCAGAATCAAAATACTGAAAACCAAAACTGAGTATCAAATCCTGAACACTACCAGATTAAAAAGAGATTATACATTAATAAGATAATGAAGAATATTTAAATATGAATCTAGGCTAGCTTCTCGTCAAAACAATGGAGACCAAAAGAGTGATACCCAGAGGGCTGGGGTTGGGGGTGGAAAAAAAGATGTCAAATCATTTGTCTGTATCCAATGAATTATCCTTCAAAAATAAGGATGAAATAAAGACATTTTTCATAAAAACACAAGCTGAGAGAATGTCACCAGCAGAACTGCACCTCCAGCAACGCTACAGGATGTTCTGCAGGCTGAAGGAAAGGATAACAAACGGAAGTGCGATTAAGAACTCTTCCTGAGGGAGTGCCGCGAATCCCTTTCTTACACAGGGAAGGAAAAACAGATTCCGAGTCACTGCTCCAAATGGACTATTAGCCATTGAGAGTTCCCTATGACTAAGTCACTACTTTTAGGATTACAGGTTTAACTTAATTAGTTATGATATAAATTTCATGGTTTTCAAATAGCATTTTTTAAAGTGTAATGGGATAGAATGGACCAGAAAAGAGTAAAGCAAAAACATCCCTCTTTTAAAATTAAAACTAATACGATAAATGCCCACGTGATAAATAATACTCATTTTAAAAACCTACTAACAAAAATACAGCTCATTATGTCGGGCAATGTCTTACATCAATATCACCATGAACTCATGATATTTTAGTGCAGATAAACCAGTCTCCTTTTATTAGATATTGAGAGCCATGTTACTTACTGTCTTCAGTTTCCCTTTGAATGCCAGGAACACATGGCCTGAGCCACAAGACCCCACACGACCTGGCTGGCTCTTACCTCTCTCCCTCTTGATCCCTCTGCTGTAGCCCTTAGCTTCCCCACACTATTCCTCCACAGCCCAAGCATCTCCTTGCCATGGGTTCTTTTGCCTTTACTTCCTTTGCTAGATAATTCTCCAGATATCTGCAAGGCTTGTTCCTTCATTTAATGCAATCTCTGTTCAAATTCATCTCCTAAGAGAGGCCTTCACTAACCACTTAGTTACTTAGTTATGGAGAACAGACATTTCTCCAAAGAAGATATATAAACAGCCAACAAACATGAAAAAATGTTCAGCATCACTAATCATCATGGAAATGCAAATTAAAACCACAATGAGATACCCCACCTTACTCCTGCAAGAATGGCTGAAACTAAAAAGTCAAAAATTTTAATAGATGCTGGCATGGATGTGATGAAAAGGGAACACTTTTATACTGCTGGTGAGAATGTAAACTAGTACAACCACTATGGAAAACAGTATGGAGAGTCTTTAAAGAACTAAAAGTAGAACTACCACTAGATCCAGCAATCCCACTACTGGGTATCTACCCAAAGAAAATGAAGTCACTATATAAAAAAGACACAAGCACATGTATGTTTATAGCAGCTCAATTTACAATTGCAAAGATAGGGAACCAACTTAAGTGCCCATTAACCAACGAGTGGATACAGAAAATGTGGGGGGGGGGGTGTGTGTGTGTATGGAATACTACTCAGCCATGAAAAGAAACAAAATAAATCTTTTGCAGCAAATTGGATGGAGCTAGAGGCCATTATTCTAAGTAACTCAGGAATGGGTAACTAAATACCGTACGTTCTCACTCATAAGTGGGAGCTAAGCTATGAGGATGCAAAGACATAAGAATGATATCATGGACTTTGGGGACTCAGCGGGTAAGGTTGGGAGAAGGGGTAAGGGATAAAAGATTACATATTGGGTACAACGTACACTGCTTGGGTGACAGGTGCATTAAAATCTCAGAATTCACCACCAAGGAACTTATCCATGTAACCAAAAACAAAACCCTGTACCCTAAAAACTACTGAAATTTTTAAAACAAATTTTAAACAAATACAGATGGATTATATTGTGTACTGGAGGCAATGACGCCCTCCCTAGCAGCCAAATACCTGCTATGTATGTGTTCCAGTAATGTCATGCATAGGGTGGGATGGGATTCTCGCAGCCCACAGAGCGGGCCCACAGAGCGGGCAGCTTTCCAGAAAATTAGGTCTTTGTTACAGAAAATTATAGACACACTCCACAGTAGGCCCAAAAGCCTCTCACACTGCAGCCTTGCCCCACAATGGAAGATGAAAAGATGGCACACCTGGAAACTGGACTAAAACTTGAGGTGTGTGTTTGGATCCCCCTTTACCCCTCACACAGCCTCTACAATCAACCAGCAGAGTGACTCTGGTAACCACATAGCGGCAACTCAGAGAGCAGAAGCAGTTGCTGGAAAGGAAAGAATCAGGTTCTTGGCTCCGGAAATGACGGGAGAACATCAAGACACACTGAAAGGAGCAAATGAGCCCTGGATGCCCAGCAGCTGAGCCAAGGTGACAGGGCGACTGGGCAGAGGCTCTGATGCCAGGTCCCAAGGATAAAAGCCAGGCAGGTGGAGGGTCAAGAGGACCACAGTCCTCTGGAAGCACCTTCACCTTGTCTAAGATCCTCCCTCTACCTGCCACCCGCCTTTGGGCTGAGATCTGACTTTGCTCAGTGGGACCTTCTGTCCCAGACGAGGTTCCACATGGTCCTGTGGTGGTATTTCTCCACATCTGCTCACAAAGTATCAGGACTGTGACTGACACCACCTCCCAGTCCATTCGGCTCATTGTTCATGCCAAAGGAGCGAGCACCTCCCTCTTCACGCCTCTCTCAAGAACTACCAGAAACACAACACCCGACAAAGTTCCCGTCCCAGGCAAAGTCAATCCTGCCCAAAAGCAGTAAAATAACGTCTTCCTTCTTCATACTCCACCTCCATTTGCTTTTCTTCTAAGAAAAGTCCCTGGGGAAGGTATAGCTGTGTTTCCCTGCAGCCTGGGGTGTAAATGACTGATCCTGGAATCCCGATTTGGGGTGAGATACCGGAAGACACTTCTGAAACTGAGAGGCCACTCCAGGGATGCCAAAGTCAAATTTGTTCTGTTCTCAGCAGACTGTTGCCGAGTTAAACTCACTCCGGCTGCTTGCTTACTTATTTTTTACTCACCCACAGATGCCATAGGCTAAGCATCCCCAGGACTTGTAACAAGGAGAGGCAACATCACAGAGGTGGGCATTGGTAACCAGTCACGGAGAAGCGGCCGCCCCACACCTCTGTTGTCCTACCTTCCCTCTCCTTAAAAAAAAAAAAAAAAAAAAAAAAGTCTTGGAAATTACATAGACGTCCCTCAGAGTCCCTATCCTGGGAAAACGGGGTCAACTTCGCGTACCACCCTGCCCAGGCTCCCTCGGGGTCACTAATCCCAAAGGGTGGGAGTTCGGATGCCACCTCCTTCACTCCCTCCCTCCTACCACCTGTCAGAAACCAGGACCAGGGTCCAGCCAGGAGACTCACCACGCGGCCTGGGAGTAGCCATGGTGTGGATGCAGACCCCGCCGGCCGCGGCCGCGCGCTTCTGGGCAGGCTTATGCCGCCGCGGGGCTAATTCCATCTCGCTCAGCTCCGTCCCGGCGAGTCCGCCCCTCGCCGGCTGCCGCCTCCTCCTCCCCCATCCCTCCCGGCCGCCGGCGCTGCGCAGCCTGAGACCAGCTCTCCCCGCTGCGCCTTGGGCGCCCGGGCGCGTCGAGAAAGGAGCGCGGTCCCGCAGCCGGGTTGAGTCCAGGACACACTCGGGTCCGTGGGGCTGAGAGGCGAGACGGTAATCGCTCCCTGCTCCCCCAAGCCCGGGGCGACGCCCCACAACCTGCTTCAAGTGTAAAAATTCAGCCGGATTATCTCATGAACTGTCTGGCTGATTAGTTTCCAATCCCGCCAGCAAAGCCTCCTTCCCGCCGCCCTAAAGGGTCATCCACTGTCCAGGGGTCAGCCCTGGGGGCAGGAGTGGGGGGCGAGCCCCTGGACGGCAGATCCCCCCACACCTGTCTTCACAGTAGGTGGAGACCAGCTGTCCTCACCACCTTCCCCTAGGTTAAGCAGGACAAAAGGGAGAAGAGGAGGGAGTAGGTGCACAAGGGACCGCAGAACAGGAGGAGGGGCTGCTAGAGGGAGAAGGAGGGGTCCGTTTTATAAGAGCTCTCTCATGAGACACTAGGAGGGTTAAAGAGGGTTGAGGGCATAGATTATGGAAGCTCCATCCCCAGAGGGCAACAGGAGTGCCATCTCCCCAGGACAGTTCAGGTACCTGGGCAGGGGGACGGGAGGGAAAAACCTCCAAAGGGCCATTCTGCATGATGGAATCTGCAACTCCAAGATGCCCAGAAGTAAAACAAGTTCATTGATACCATGGACCCCCAAAATGAAGCAGCACAAGTCAAGTATGCCATCTGTGATCACTGACCTTCAGACATGAAGATTTTCTCTCCTATACTGATAAGGTAGGCTGGTCATGATAGATCCCACTTTATAGAGAAGGAACCTGGGGCAGCACAGTTGAGGGCAGAGCAGAAGGAAAACCACAAGATGTGATGTCCCAACCCAGGGTTTTATTCCACCCACTGCAAGTACTACTGGCTAATGCTTCTACAGGACTTCCTCTCTGCCCAACACCCTTCTCAGTGCTTTCCCTACGGTAGTTATTTTACCCCTAACAATAAGTATATGAGGCAATCACTGCAGTGTGCCCATTTTACAGATGAGAGGACTGCAGTGTTAAATGTCAAGTAACGAAAAAAAAGGGGGGGGCCCAAGATGGACGAATAGGAACAGCTCCAGCCTCCAGCTCCCAGCGTGAGCAACACAGAAGACGGGTGATTTCTGCATTTTCAACTGAGGTACTGGGTTCATCTCACTGGGGCGTGTCGGACAGTCCATGCTGGTCCATGGGTGCAGCCCAACCAGCAAGAGATGAAGCAGGGTGAGGCATCACCTCGCCTGGGAAGCACAATGGGGAAGGCAATTCCTTTTCCTAGCCAAGGGAAATTGAGACACACAACACCTGGAAAATCGGGTAAACCCCACCCTAATACTGCGCTTTACCAAGGGTCTTAGCAAACGGCACACCAGGAGATTATATCCCACACCTGGCCCAGACGGTCCCATGCCCACAGAGCCTCCCCTCATTGCTAGCACAGCAGTCTGAGATCTAACTGCAAGGCAGCAGTGAGGCTGGGGGAGGAGCGACTGCCATTGCTGAGGCTTAAGTAGGTAAACAAAGCCACAGGGAAGCTCAAATTGGCCAGAGCCCACTGCAGCTCAAGGAGGTCTGCCTGCCTTAGTAGACTCCACCTCTGGGGACAGGGCATAGCTAAACAAAAAGCAGCAGAAACCTCTGCAGATGTAAAAGTCCCTGTCTGACAGCTTTGGAGAGCACAGTGGTTCTCCCAGCATGGAGGTTGAGATCTGAGAACGGACAGACTGCCTGCTCAAGTGGGTCCCTGACCCCTGAGTAGCCTAACTGGGAGACATCCCCCACTAGGTGCAGACTGACACCTCACACAGCTGGGTACACCCCTGAGACGAAGCTTCCAGAGCAAGAATCAGAGAGCAATACTCGCTGTTCAGCAATATTCTATCTTCTGTAGCCTCTGCTGCCGATACCCAGGCAAACAGGGTCTGGAGTGGACCTCAAGCAAACTCGAACAGACCTGCAGCTGAGGGTCCTGACTGTTAGAAGGAAAACTAACAAACACAAAGGACACCCACACCAAAACCCCATCAGTATGTCACCATCATCAAAGACCAAAGGCAGATAAAACCACGAAGATAAGGAAAAAGCAGTGCAGAAAAGCTGGAAATTCAAAAATCAGAGCGCATCTCCCTTTCCAAAGGAACACAGCTCATCACCAGCAACAGAACAAAGCTGGACGGAGAATGACTTTGATGAGTTGAGAGAAGGCGGCTTCAGTCAAGCAAATGTCTCAGAGCTAAAGGAGGAACTACGTACCCAGCGCAAAGAAACTAAAAACCTTGAAAAAAGATTGGATGAATGGATAACTAGAATAATCAATGCAGAGAAGTCCATAAATGAACTGATGGAGATGAAAACTATGACACAAGAACTACGTGACAAATGCACAAGCTTCAGTAATCGACTCGATCAAATGGAAGAAAGAGTATCAGTGATTGAAGATCAAATGAATGAAATGAAGCGAGAAGTGTAGAGAAACAAGAGTAAAAAGAAATGAACAAAGCCTCCAAGAAATATGGGATTATGTTTATGTGAAAAGACCAAATCTACGTCTGATTGGTATGCCTGCAATTGACAGGGAAAATGGAACCAAGTTGGAAAATACTCTGCAGGATATCATCCAGGAGAACTTCCCCAACTTAGTAAGGCAGGCCAACATTCAAAATCGGGAAATACAGAGAACGCCACAAAGATACTCCTCGAGAAGAGCAACTGCAAAACACACAATTGTCAGAGTCACCAAAGTTCAAATGAAGGAAAAAATGTTAAGGGCAGCCCGAGAGAAAGGTCAGGTTACCCACAAAAGGAAGCCCATCAGACTAACAGCAGATCTCTCGGCAGAAATTCTACAATCCAGAAGAGAGTGGGGGCCAATATTCAACATTTTTAAAGAAAAGAATTTTCAACCCAGAATTTCATATCCAGCCAAACTAAGTTTCATAAGGAGAAATAAAATCCTTTACAGACAAGCAAATGCTTAGAGATTTTGTCACCACCAGGCCTGCCCTACAAGAGATCCTGAAGGAAGCACTAAACATGGAAAGGAACAACCTGTACCAGCCACTGGAAAAACATGCCAAAATGTAAAGTCCATCGATGCTAGGAAGAAACTACATCAACTAATGAGCAAAATAACCAGCTAATATCATAATGACAGGATCAAGTCCACACATAATATTAACCTTAAATGTAAATGGACTAAATGGTGCCATTAAAAGACACAGACTGGCAAATTGGATAAAGAGTCAAGACCCATCAGTTTGTTGTATTCAGGAGACCCATCTCACATGCAGAGACACACATAGGCTCAAAAT